GATGACATGATTGTATATTCAGAAGACCCACCATCTCAGCCCAAAATCTCCTGAAACTGATAAGCAACTTCAGCAAAGTCTCAGGATACAAAATCAATGTGCAGAAATCACAAGCATTCCTATACACCAATAACAGTCTTAAAGAGAGCCAAATCAAGAACAAACTGCCATTCACAATTGCTACAAAGAGAATAAAAAACCTAGGAATACAGCTAACAAGGAACGTAAAGGACATCTTCAAGGAGAACTACAAGCCGCTGCTCAATGAAATAAGAGAGGACATAAACAGATGGAGAAACATTCCATGTTCATGGTTAAGAAGAATCAATATCGTGAAAATGGCCATACTGCCCAAAGTAATTTACAGTTTCAATGCTATCCCCATCAAGCTACCAATGACCTTCTTCACAGAACTGGAAAAAACCACCTTAAACTTCATATGGAACCAAAAGAGAACCTGCATAGCCAAGTCAATTCTAAGCGAAAAGAACAAAGCAGGAGGCATCACACTACCGGACTTCAAACTATACCACAAGGCTACAGTAATCAAAACAGCATGGTACTGGTACCAAAACAGAGATACAGACCAATGGAACAGAACAGAGTCCTCGGAGGCAACACAACATATCTACAACCATCTGATCTTTGACAAACCTGACAAAAACAAGCAATGGGGAAAGGGTTCCCCGTTTAATAAATGGTGTTGGGAAAAGTGGCTAGCCATGTGCAGAAAGCAGAAACTGGACCCCTTCCTGACACCTTACACTAAAATTAACTCCAGATGGATTAAAGACTTAAGCATAAGACCTAACACCATAAAAGCCCTAGAAGAAAATCTAGGCAAAACCATTCAGGACATAGGCGCAGGCAAGGACTTCATGACCAAAACACCAAAAGCATTGGTAACAAAAGCCAAAATAGACAAATGAGACCTAATCAAACTCCACAGCTTCTGCACAGCAAAAGAAACAGTCATTAGAGTGAATCAGCAACCAACAGAATGGGAAAAAATTTTTGCAGTTTACCCATCAGACAAAGGGCAGATATCCAGAATTTACAAAGAGCTAAAACAGATTTACAAGAAAAAAACAAACAAGCCCATTCAAAAGTGAATGAAGGATATGAACAGACACTTTACAAAAGAAGACATACATGAGGCCAACAAACATATGAAAAAATGCTCATCATCTCTGGTCATTAGAGAAATGCAAATCAAAAGTACATTGAGGTACCATCTCACGCCAGTTAGAATGGTGATCATTATGGGGAGGAAGGCAGCAAATCACACTGCCACGTGTGTTCCTATGCAACAATTTTGCATGTTCTTCACATGTACCCCAAAACCTAAAATGCAATAAAATAAATAAAGGGGGAAAAAAAAAGAATGGTGATCATTAAAAAATCTGGAGACAACAGATGCTGGAGAGGATGTGGAGAAATAGGAACAGTTTTACACTGTTGATGGGAGCGTAAATTAGTTCAACCATTGTGGAAGACAGTGTGGCGATTCCTCAAGGACCTAGAAATAGAAATTCCATTTGACCCAGCAATCCCATTACTGGGTATATATCCAAAGGATTATAAATCATTCTACTATAAGGACATGCGCACACAAATGTTCATTGCAGCACTGTTTACAATAGCAAAGACCTGGAACCAGCCCAAATGCCCATCGATGATAGGCTGGACAGGGAAAATGTGGCGCATATATACCATGAAGTATTATGCAACCATCAAAAACGATGAGTTCATGTCCTTTGTAGGGACATGGATGAACCTGGAAACCATTATTCTCAGCAAACTGACACAAGAGCAGAAGATCAAACACCACATGTTCTCACTCATAGGCAGGTGTTGAGCAATGAGAACACATGGACACAGGAAGGGGAGCATTGGGGTCTGTTGGAGGAAATGGGGAGGGACAGCGGGGTGTGGGGAGTTGGGGAGAGATAGCATGGGGAGAAATGCCAGATGTAGGTGATGGGGAGGAAGGCAGCAAATCACACTGCCAGGTGTGTACGTATGCAACAATCTTGCATGTTCTTCACATATACTCCAAAGCCCTAAAATGCAATAAAACAAACAAAAAAAAAGAATCGCTTGAACCCGCGAAGCAGAAGTTGCAGTGAGCCGAGATCAAACCACTGCACTCCAAGCTGGGGGACAGAGTGAAACTCTATCTCAAAAAAAAAGAAAAATAATAATTGTAACTATTCTTGCCCTGTAGGACTTCATGATGTAACAACAATAAAAGAGAAAAATTACAAGTTTTAAATAAGCTGTGATAAAGGATATAAAACAAGTTCAAAAATTGGATTTCCTGAAGGGAGAAAATTTCAGACTTAGAGAAAAGAAGGGCTTTTCTTGGAGGAAGTCAGATTTGAGCTGGGTTGCGAAAGAAGAGAAAGATTTAACCTGGCAAATGTGGGGTTTGGGCAAGAGCGGACAGAAAGAAAGGAAAAACAACACAATTAAAGGGAAAAAGAAATGAAACCATAACATTCAAGATCCAGGCCTGCAGAGCAAACATGAGATAAAGTTATAAAAATAACCTCAACCGGGAAAAGACTCTAAAAATATCAAGTCAAATTAGGGCTTTAATTTATCTATGATAGGGAGGCATACAAACCTTTTTGCTTATTGGAAGTATAATAGTCCTTATTTGATAATTTATAATTATAAGCACAATGCTTAATCTAAAGACAACCATTGACCACATTTTCATATTTACCCTGCTCTAGGTGTTTTTTTCTGTGTAAAAGTATATACGCCTTGTTATAAAACCAAAATTTAACATTGTATATAGTATTCAAATAACACATAGTGATCACAAACATTTTTATAGAACAGAAGACTATTGAAAGGGAAATACATCATCTCAAAGAATGATTGTGCCATAATTTATAGATCTAATTTCACCTTGTTGAGCATTTAGGTTTTATCCAAATACATTGCTTACTTGCTTGATTTTATTTCTGTAGGATAAACTTCTAAGAGTGAAACTTCTTGTTCAAAGATTTTTGGTGGAAATGAGCTATTGAGCTGTAAATCAGCTTTCATGTTTTTTAAATACCTATTTTAAATACCTATTCACTGATATTCGTTTCTCAATTGGCATCTTCCAGCTGTCAATACCTGTGCCATTCTCATGGTTACTTCCCTCTCACTCACTTTCATGAAGGAATGAAGCACCAGGCTCCCATCTGTCTTTCCAATACCGCTTCTGTCAGCATTCAAGTAGATGATCCATAGTGATCTCTGACCTCTCTTCCCTGACTCCAAACTAGTATACAACCATACGCAGACTAAACCTTACCCCACGTTCCATGTCAAACTCCCACTCTCCCAATTCTGTTTATTTTCCTTCACAAATAGGATCCAACACAATAGTGCAGACAGATTAAAATGCTTGTGAGAATGTATTGCATAATAGAAGGCATTTTGGTACAATAGGGACAAAGTGGATTATAAACTAGATATAGATCCCTCTCTCAGTTTGTGCACCTCAATCAATTACAGGTAGAATGAAAGTTTAGATCTAAATAAATAATAACTTCCATAGGAAAGTCTAAATGAATACTGATGTAAATTATGAATTGGAATAAGAATTCTTAACCCAAAAGCCACAAAGACAAAATGGACATATTTAATACAAAAAAATTGAACAGCATGAAACAAAGCTAAAAGACTACTGTGAAAATAACTGCAAAATATTTATATACTAATTTTCCTAATAAAGTGTTAATTTCCCTAACATAAAAGTAACTGTAATGCCCTAACATGTAAATAGTTGTAAGAAAATAAAAGTTGCAGTGATCTCATCAAGACTTAAAGAAATTCCAAATAAAATTATGAGACTGCTTTTTACTACTAACATTGGCAAAGATTTCAGATTGATCATATTCCTATCCTTGCTAATACTGGCAAACAGGCAGTCTTGCAGCCTGCTGCTGAGAGTGTCAATTAGTACAATTCAGCCAAAAGATAATTTGATAATACCCATCAAAACGGTAAATATCTGGACTGTGATGATGGTTACATGACTCTGTAAATCTACCAAAAAGTCAATGAATTATACCCTTAAAATGAGAAAATTTATGGTATGTAAATTATACCTCAATAAAGCTTTATTTTAAAAAAAAGTTTAAAATGCACATGTTTTGAGAAATAGCAATTCTATGTCTATGAATGCATAATATTAGAAAATGGTGGGTGTTTTTAACCTGAAAAAGGAAGTTACACGATTATATAGAGTTCAATAATTATCAATGTTAACCATATTGTTTAAACGGTGGAAGAACAAATATACAATTTTTACTCTTTTCTTTCTTTCTTTCCTTCCCTCCTTCCTTCCTTCCTTCTTTCTCTTTCTTTCCTTCCTTCCTTCTTCTCTTTCTTTCTTTCTTCTTTCTTTCTCCTTTCTTTCTTTCCTTCCTTCCTTCTTTCTTTCTTTTCTTTTTCCTTCCTTCCTTCCTTCCTTCCTTCTTTCTTTCTTTCTTTCTTTCTTTCTTTCTTTCTTTCTTTCTTTCTTTCTTTCTTTCTTTCTTTCTTTCTTTCTTCTTTCTTTCTTTCTTTCTTCCTTTCTTTCTTTCTTTCTGTTAGAGATATTTCAGTCTTGTTGCCCAGGCTGCAGTGCACTGGTATGATCTCAGCTCATTGTACCCATCACCTCCTGGGTTCAAGTGATTCTCCTGCCTCAGCCTCCCAAGTAGCTGGGATTACAGGCACCCACCAGCTAATTTTTGTATTTTTAGTAGAGACAGTATTTTGCTATGTTGGCCAAGCTGGTCTTGAACTCCTGACCTCAACAATTTTTACTCTTAGCCACATAAATATTGATATTAGAACAAGAGAACCTGCACAGTCAGGAGAGTAGGATTTCAAATTTCACTGTACATCTACTCTACAGATCGCATTAGAGAGGCTAGATTAATATAAGTAAAGCAAAATTGAAAGCCCACAAGGATAAGAGATTATCCCCAAACTAATGCAAATCTTACTTTGATAGCTTTCAATCCATGAGATGGTTTATCTTCTTTTGCAACTGCAGTAACTTTTTGTCCAACTTTCAGAGCCACATTGTCAGTGACAATATCACTACTGCTGTAGTTCAACTCATTAATCAAGCCGTAATTACTAGAGACATTTGTCACAAATCCCTGCACAGTTTTCAATGTGGTGCCACCTATGGGATTAGCAAACAACAGTTTATATTATTAATCTCAAAAGCAAACACCCATTACAAATAAGCCCTACGAGAGGAAAATATGATAGACAACCATGTACTTCTAGGAATAGAATGACCTGGATTTGAGATACAGATCACAGAAGAGCCTAATAATCAGCTATGCAGGATTCTGGAGGCAGAGTGCCCAGGTTCACATTCTGGACCACCACTTCTCTGTATGGCACAGTGGCCTCACACCACAGGCATTAGGGGGTCATAGTTAAGAACACTGAGTCTGGATCCAGACCGCTTGGGTTTCAGTTCCTACATGTACGATCTGCATAAGCCTGCATACATCTCTTAACCTCTCTGACCCTGTTTTCCTCTGTCAAACAAAGATAGTTAACAATTTCTGCATGATTTCTGCAGTGAGGGTTAATGGACACATACATATCAACTGCTTAGAACTGTGAGTGCCTTGCATAGGTTAGAATGTAAATGCTGTTGCTATCATTATATCTGCATATGAAGAGTCCTTAAATTACCACTATTATTATATAACTTCATCATTATCATCAACACAATGAGCAGCATCATCTGCAGATTCTTAAACATCTCACCAGAGCACTAAAAGATATCAGGAATTTAAGTCTAGCCCCATAGTGCATCTGAATCAACAACTATGTTGTTGTTGTTGTTGTTGCTTTTCTGAACAAGCATAGCTGGTAGGTGATATTTGGGGATCTAACCCCAGGCAGTCTGCCTGCAGAATCTGAGCTCTGAACCATAATGCCACAACTGCCTATCCCACAACTTAGGTAAATTGACAGAATGCCTGGGAAAATTTGTGATTATACAAGATTATAAAAACAGAAATCAAGAAAACCTGACAATTTTTTTTAATGGGTCAAACTTGTTTGTTACATCATATTACAGAAGCAAGAGGGAGAGCAATGGAAGCAACCGCCACTCAGACACGTGAAGGTTTGTTGAAGAGCCTTCCATGTGTCCCTGTTGGCACAAATAGAGCTAATAGTGAATCAATGCTGCAGTGAGAAATTTCAGCCAAAAGCTAAGAAACAGTCTTCTCTGAACAAACTTTGCTAAGACTTAGCCACCTCAGCAGGGGTTCAAACTCAGCTAGCAGAGAAGCTACAGGGAGATTCTAGCACCAGGAAAGCAGGTCCCTGCTAACGGAATACTACTTACCAAAGAAGAGGCTGTCATATGCCATCCTCTTGAAGATATCGTGATTCTACTCTTGTGGCAGGAGGTGCCTTCAGAGGTGGGGAGCTTAGAGGATAACAAATGGCTGCTGGACCCGAACGTCTGTGTCTGTCTATGTCTCCCTGACTCAGTTATAAAATGAGCATGACGACACTAGGACTTCCATCACTGGAATTTTCATGAGAATTAAATGAGATGAATGACCGTTAGCTTGGGGCCTGGCACATGCAAGCATTCAACAAAAAGTAGAATTAATATAATTCAGAGCAGGGATGCGATCCACTCCCGCAAACCTTCTCACGTGTTATGGACTCACACTCGCCAAATGCAAATGCCATCACACATCTCCCTTGAATGTCCACTCAGTGCTGGGATTTTAGGATACAAAGGAGAATAAGTTAAATGTGGCTCACGACCTCCTATGGGCAACAGATATATGACTCATCCATTTGGCTTCAAATGCATGCCCTTTTTGGATACATGGCCAAATTCACCCTCAAATTAGGGGATTTCATGCCTATTTTAAATATCAAAAGAAATCTGCTGCAGGAAGCACGTGGGAAAACTTGGGGTCAGGGAGATGCAGGTGAGTGGGAGGGTGGAGAGGGAGGTACAGCCCCCATAGCCTTCCCTGTCAATAACTTCCTGCTTTGGACTGACAAGAGAGTTTGGGGTTTAGGTCGATGCAAGCCTAGTTCTCAGGGGCTTGTTGGGGACTCGGGACACATCCCCCAGTCCGATGCACACACACACACAATATGGAGCCACCTCCATGGGCAGTGCCTGCTTAAGTCTCCACAGCTCCTTTCCAGGGGTGAGGAGAGCCCCTATTGGGAGGCTTCTGGGGTGCGACGTAAGGGGACACACAGAGGAATACCTTGTGGGAGCCCCTGTTGCTGTGGGCCCTGCCGCTGTGTGGGGTCTGCCTTCCTCTGGAAGAAGGCCAAAGCCTGTCTCAGAAGCCTGAGCATGGTCCTGACTGGCCTGGGCACTGTTTGTGATAGATGACACACAAGGTCTTTTTGGTCGAGAACTCTCAGGTCACCACGTCTCCTCAGGGACTCACATCCTCAGCCTCTGTGGTAGGGGACCCAATTATTAGTGAGCAGTCCTTAAGAGAGCCAGGGTTCCTCTCTCTGAGCATATGTTCCTCAGGACCTGCCTCTACCACTGTCCAGCCGATGGGCATGCAGTGGGTGGGTGGGCAGGTTCCTGTGGCCAGTAAGAGGTGGTGGGTGGGAACATTGTGGCTCCTTCCATCAAGGCTGAGGGAGTCATTAGGATGGCCCGGGGGAAATGGCTTGGGGGCTTGGGTTCTGCATGTACTCAAAGGGTACAGGGGCTCTTCTGTGGGATTCCCTGGGAGGACGGGTGTCTGAAACACAGGCTGTGCAACCAAAAAATCCAGCTCTTACCCTTGTGTTCATGGTGCTTAACATAAAGACTAACCACATAGTAGGTGGTCAATAGTTACTCCTCAGCAGGGATCATGTGTACGTGTGCGTGTGTGTGTGTGTGTGTGTGTGTGTTCATGTGGGTATGTAACATTTTAGGGATGGCAAGTCCTTCTCTTTTGTATTATGATAAAAAATATTATATTATAAATTATCATATTATGATATAAAAGAGAAGGACTTGCCATCCCTAAAATGTTAACAATTATGGTTCATAATTATAATTTATCACAGAATTATTTGAATATCATTGCTATCACTTATTCATTGCTTACCTAACGATGCCAATCATTCTGCTGTATGTATTACATTTATTCATTCATTTAATGAATATTTGTTTAGCACTGACTATGAGGCAAACACTGTTCTTGGCACTTGTAATTAATCAGTGAATAAAAGATACAAGTATCTTGGCCCTGTGGAGGTAATTTTCTTACGAAAGGAGAGTAAGGGAGAAACCAAAACTAAAAAATAACAAAACACGTGATACATTAGGAGGCAATAAATGCTATGGAAAAATTTAGCAAGGCAAGGGGGATCCACAGTGCTGGGGAGGGGCATTGGCTGGCATTTTACATTAGGATAGTCAGAGTAGGCTTCATTGGAGGGCAATAGTCAAACAAATACTGAGGAAGATGTTGGAGTTAGCCAGGCAGCTATTTCAGGAGGAGTTATCCAGGCAAAGGGAGCAGCCTGTGGCCTGTGTGAAGATTGTGTGGCAAGAGTATGCCTGATGTGTTCAAGGGAAAACTTAGTGGTTGGAGCAGAGGAAGTGAGAGCAAGAACTGGAAATGTAATCAGAGAGGTAATAGACTTGTGAGGACTTGTAGAGCAGTGAAAGTTCTTTGGCTTTTACTCTCCATAATGTGTGCAGTCTGTGAAGGGTTTGGAGCCTTCCAGGGATACCTCCAGCTGCTTGGTTATGAACAGGCTGGAAGGGGCCAAAGCATGAAGCAGGAAAAACAGTTAGGGGCGTCCTGCTGTAATCCATGGTTGCCATGGATGAAACCTGATTGTCCTTCCTCTCCTGCAGAGAAAACAGGCAAGAGAGCTGCAAAAGATAATCATCTGATGGAGGAGACGGGCAAGGAGGGACTCAAGAACCAGGTGGGAGCAATGCTGGGGCATCAAGAGGAGATCTGCGAAGAGGGGGACAGGAGTGCCCTGAGCGGTGGGCTGGAATTGTGTTCATTGGATTTCAGGGATTACTGTGGGGAGTGGCTCATGGGAATGATTTAGGGCGGCTATAGGTCATGAAGAAAGCTTTGAGTGTGGCCTGTCCTTTCAACAGACATCTGCATGAAACACATGAGACAAGAAGGAGAGTAAAGTGAGCACTGGACTTTGCCTTGGACCTTAACACTGGGTCTTCCCTCAGTAGAAGGTAGTGCCAGAAAGACCCTGATGGTCCAAGACTCCAGACTCACCTCAGCATCAGGCTGACACCCACAGCCCCACAACCACATGGATGTAGGTTCCAGGCCTGCCCAGCGCCAGGTCAGCTTCTGTGGGCTCATGTTTCAGGCCAATAACCGTGGACTGAGCCTCCCAGCCTGCCCAGTGCCAGGTAGAATTCTGCAGCCCCAGGTTCCAGGCCTGCCCCAACATCAGGCCAACCCCACTGGCCCCAGGCTCCAGACTGGTCCTAGAAGCCCTGGGCTCTGGACCGGCGCAGCACCAAGCTAGTCCCCACAGCCCTAGGCTTTAGGACCTCCTAAGTACCAGGCTGTGGCCCCCAGTGTTAATCATCAGGTCTGTACTCGCAGACCCAGCTTCTAGGCCAGCCCCTGAAGATACAAGATCCAGGCCCACCCAGTACCAAGCTAGCCCCTGTGACTCTAGGCTTCAGGCTGGCCTCAGTGCCAAGTCAGTACCCCGGCCTCACACACCTGGTGTGCATCTGTAAACACAGACTCCAGCCCCATCTAGTGGTGAGTCAGTCCCTGCAGCATCACACTCCAGACTGGTCCCTATGGCCTTATGCGGTGGACCTAGAGTCCAGTTCTGCTTGAGCAGACCCAGTGTCCACACCTGTCCCAGTAGAGACCAGCATTGGACCAGCCCCCATGAAACCAGGCTTCAAGACTGCTCCTGTGTACCTAAGCCCCAAGCCAGACTCTAAGATCCCAGGACTTAGGCCGGCCCTCACAGACCTAGACTCTAGTCTAGCACCTGCATACCCAGCTTCCAGGCAGGCACCACTGGACATAGGCTTCAGGCCGGTCCTCATGGTCCCAGCCTCCAGACCAGTCCCAGTGGCTCCAGGCACCAAGCCAGTGCTGGCAATCTTAGAGTCCAGACCCAGCCACTGCAGACCCAGACTTCATGCTGGTCCCTAAACCAGGATGGTCCCATGTTCCAGTCCATTTCCCCCATATCCCAAGGCTGTAGAGGACTCAGAGTCCAGGACTACCCAATAAGATCGTAGTACCAGACCAGACTTCATGGACTGAGATTCCAAGACCACCAATGCAGATCCAGGCCCAGGCCAGTCCCTGTGATTTCAGGCTATAGGCCCATGTCAGTAGTTTCAGGCACTAGGCCTGTTCTAACACGAGGCCAATCCCTTTGGACTGGGGCTCCAGGTACATCCCAGTGGACCCACCCAGATGTCAAGACTGTTCCAGCACCTGGCCAGCCCCTGCAGAGTCAGACTCAAGGTCTAGTCCAGAACCAGGTCAGTTCTTGTGGACCCAAGCTTCAGACCAGCCCCCATGGCATATGAAGGTGCAGCAATACACCCAAGTCCCAGCAATGAGGTCAAAGCAGGGGCAGGGTTGGGGGAGTGTTTTCTTGTCCTTCTTGACCAACCTAGTCACTCATGGCAGGGCATTCACTTGCATTTTCTACAACTTGAAGAAGAGACAGCATTCATCACACAATATGTGACCCAAAAACCATAAAGGAAGCAGGACAGCCAGGAGAATATTTAATAACAAAATAGAGGGCAGCTATTAATTCTAGAGAAGGGTAGAAGGTAGTACTTTATTCTGTGAAGCCAAGAGCAAATGGGCAGCAATCCTCTCCAGCTCAGGGATAAGAGCAGCAGCAGGACACAGAAGGTTCCAGTATGTTTCTATCTTTTGAAGGTACTGCTGTAACAGAGAATAATAGGGCACGTATGAAGCAGAGAATTATTCTTCATCTTTGATCCCATATTAAGTTGAACAATAGGGGCAGCTGTCAATTTCTGTATCTGGATTTTTCTCAGCACCACTGCCAGACACACCTATTTTATGCAGCTAGTTTGAAAATGAAAAAACTATCCTGAATCTACCCTGGTAGTGAGTTTTGCCTTTGGGTCAGGACTTTTCTTTCTGCAACATATTTGCTGATGTTTTATTGTTTCGCCACTGGGCCTCGTGTTAGTCTGTTTTGCATTGCTATAATGAAGTACCTGAGGCTGGGTAATTTGTAAAGAAAAGAGGCTTATTTGGCTCATGGTTCTGAAGACTGTACAAGCATGGCACCAGCATCTGCTCAGCTTCTGGTGAGGCCTCAGGAAGATTTTACTCATGGTAGAAGGTGAAGGGGGAGCAGGCATGTCATATGGCAAGAGAGGGAGCAAGATAATTGTCAGGTTCTTTTAAGCAATCAGCTCTCACACGAACTAATAGAGTGAGAACTCGCTTATTACTGTGAACACAGTATCAAGCCATTCATGAAGGATCTTCCCCCATGGCCCAAACACTTCCCACCAGGTCCCACATCCAGCATTGGGGATCACATGTTAACATGAGATTTGGAGAAGACAAACATCCAAACTATACCAGGCCTCTTCCATAGATGAACGACTCTATTGGCCTTTCTTTCAATCCCCTACAGCCCTTGCCCCACCACTGTGATATTAAAAGTTCACAAAAGTAGCCACATCCTATTAATTCCCAAGCAATCCTAGCCTTCAATTATTTCCCTATTAGGTGGTTCAGAGTGGGGATCTCCAGTGAATAATCAGGTCATCCAGGACTGATCCAGCCACATTCCTCAACTGCCTGCCCAGTGGAGAACATCAGACTTCTTCATTCTCCCTCCTGGCCTCATGCTTTGGAGAATAATCAGGGCATTCCTCTCCCATCCAGGAGACTCACTCACATTGCCCTTGGGCTGGGCTTTTGGCTCTGACCATGGAGCCTTCTGTTTGGATACAGATGTCCTGGCCTTGTGGGTACATTGGATGCCACAAACACATGAATGCCTGCTCCCGGGCCCAACCCTACATCATCTCACATTCTCAGTTCCCCCCAGGAAGAGGATCAGAGGGGCAAACAGGACCCCAGACAGCAGCCAAGGGGGCTTCGTCACTTGCCACAACATTCCAAATATGACCTCATGGAGAGCAGACATTGAGTCTTACAAGCAGGGTGACCAAACTCTCAGAGATTCAGTGGGACCAACAGGCTGGAACTTCTAAGGGTTTGCTCCCTGGGCCCTGAGACTGGGAGACAGTCTTGCTGCATGCTGTACCCCGTGAACTCTTCTCTCATTGCCATGCTGATGGTGGCACACACAACAGTCAC